CATGGCGGGTAGAGAATGAAGGGAGGGAAACATGGTGAGCTTACAAGACTGATGAGTTTGTCACAGCAGTAAATATCGATGCCCTCATCAAGCGTGGCTGTCACTGCTTTTATCCCTCTTTGAAACAATTGATTTCATTTCACCAAGTAGATATTCTGGTCTCTTTAGAAACCATGGAGACTAATTATTCGAACAATGCCACTGATGTCGCTGTAATTTTCAACCACAGGTTCTCTCATTAAACTAGTTACCACTGACCAGCAATTACAGACAAGCAAGTTATAAAACTATTCAATATTACATGTTGATGTGATCATATCAGAACATTTAAAGGTTCTTGGTATTAGTTAGTGTGACATCTAGTGGCAGACCTGTGACGCTAAAATGTTCAGCTCAGAGAAAATTGAAGCACTGTAGCTCAAAAAGTTAACACTATGTCAAAATGTTAACAATTCAAGTTTTCAAGAAAAGGATGGCTTAGTGTACAGTATGGAACACTCTATATATAAAGTGAGTAAACTTTACACAAAATAGATTAAGCCCACGGCTCCATATTCTTTGGTAGCGGGCAAAGCCACCTTCGCAACTGCTTCTGGAGATGGAGCGAGAATTGTGATTAGGAATTTTTGCAGTTAAAGCATTATACAAGTAATCCATAATTCAGATTACAGTTGGTTTTGAATAATTACAAAGTTTTCATGGATCTCTAAAGAAACACAATATGCAAAACCCCAAGAAGTCTTTGTCTTGTCTCTTCTAAGACAAAAGTTACTTTTTCACTTGTAATACCTTATCAATTAAACAAATACCATCCATTTTAAGATTTATTAAGTTTTTTGGCATACGGAATAATTCGTTCCCTCTTTTCATCAGATGATACCATATTGGATTGTACCACTTTTGTTTTTTCTAGAATCCGAACATCTGAATATTTGTCATTCAAAGAAAAAAATGAAATCATGACCAGCGAAATTTTAAAACCTTATATTAAAGGAGAATCCTGGCATCTAACTTTAATCCTCACAGCATGTAGCTGAGTGGAATCTCGGTTGTTAAAGGCTGGATGCTCAATGCAAAATTAATCTTTTGAATTTGGCTATTATATAAAATGGAACAAAAAGACCAACTAGATGTGGCTTAGTAATAGGCTCAAGTCTTACTGTAGCTCAGAAACTAAAAAGCTTTGACCCTTAGAACACGCTACCCTATCAGATGGAAGTATTAGTATATGGTCTTTGATCAAACCCAGAATGTGACCTAAAATTCACTTAATGGTGGCAAATAGAATACTCTGATGTAATTCCATGCTAGAGGTTGACACCTTGCAGAGTTGATTAACCTGGTAATTGTGCAAGCATAGAGCATCAGCATGGTCGCTTCGTCGGCACCATTTGAGACTCCTCAGAAACAAGGTCATCTCAGGATTTGGTTCCATTGTGAGGAGTGGTGTGATCAGAGTCTGTATTCAGTATTTATTAGTGTAAATATTATGTTTTTGAATGAAAAGTTAAAATCTTTGGGAAATAATGGCAAAGGATAATGTGAAAACCTTTACAATCAAACAGTTTATTTTGAATGTATTGTAATATTTGACCAAAAAACATTATTGTAGTTCTTTAACATGTTGGAAGCAGTATATGGAGGCAAGAATAACTTATCAAGAATATCATATCTTGCCTTGCACAGGTTTATTATCATAGGGTAAAAAAGATTCTTGGAGCCAAATACAGGTAAATCTCAAAAGAAGGTTGTGTAAACATTTATTTATTCCAGTCATTCCAGAAACTGTTATTCTAAATAGATGAATTATACAGTAAAATAATACAGCTTTAATTTTTTTTACAGTTTTAATGCCTTTCAAAAAAATGTAGTGTTTTGGAAAGTTAGACTAATCAGAAAAGGATGTTTTAACAGTAGGCTTTTGGAAAATGTCAATTTCCTTGCGTTCAATACTTAATTGGGTTTCTTGTACCTGTTGCTTCATCAGTCCTCTGTGGAATAGAGGCCATAAGCCTGTGATACTGTGAAGGTGTAACGGAAGCCCAGATTACTTTGATAGCTGCCAGGAGAGTTTGCTGGCCAATCAGGAACAGGGACACCATGGTAACTAGAACAGGTTTTGGTACCTTTGTCTGTGTGGGCAGGTGTCAAGTCCTGCAGTGAAATAAAATTAAGCATCTCCATATAGCAGAGGAAAGGCTGATATTCTGCAGACATTCCTGATAGATCAGTGCATTGACTGGATTTTACAGAATGCATTGGACCAAAACCAGCAGATTAAAAAGCAAATCAAACCATCACTGACTGAGAAAACCTAACACTGGACTTCCAGCAATGTGGATTCTGTGCCTCTCCTGTCTATATCATGACTCTAGGACCTTAAAGGTATAGTGGAGGATATTCACAAATTTTGGAAAAGGCCAGCCATCTCCACTTTAAAAAAAGAAATGCGCATACATGTAGGGCTGGGTACCGAACTTTGGTTCTTTTATGGTACTGACCGAAATGCTTCGGTTCTACAGCGTATCGAAACATGCCTCG